TAGATGCTGTTAAATGAAAAATCCAAGATACAATCCAAAATACTTTTATAAATGTATTTAACCATCATATTTATCCTGGTCTATATCTATCTATCTATCTATCTATCTATCTATCTATCTATCTATCTATCTCATTCGTTAATTCTGTCTATCTATCAATCGATCAATCGATCGGTCAATCTATCACTGTTCGCATCTATCAATCTATCTATCCGGTTCACATCTATCTATCTATCTATCTATCTATCTATCTATCTATCTATCTATCTATCTATCTATCTATCTCAGTTCACAGCTATCTATCTATCTATCTATCTATCTATCTATCTATTCCTGTTTGCAAATGAATAAGAACATTTCTTTCGTCATATGAATTTCTTTCAGAGATAGAAACACATAACGTAGAATTTCTCCACTTTTTCCTCAAATGCTCAATATATATATATATATATATATATATATATATATATGCAAGGTTTATCAAGAATACTTTGACAAACTTTGGGGGTGGGTTCCACACACCAAAACATGGACAAAACTCCATATCAACATATGTCCGCAAATCCTTCGCTTTTGAGTTATTAAGTTTAAAGTTTATGGTAGATGCTGTTAAATGTACAATCCAAGATACAATCTAAAAATAGTTATTACCATAGTTTATGGTGCCATGGATCTTGTCTCAGCAATGCAACAATAAACAGCAGCAAAGGTTAGATGACTCTGCTCCCTTCGGTCTGAAAATGCAATCTGATATAGCCATGCAGCCTCATGTCCATTACCATTAGCACAGCCATATGTAAAAATCATATCTACCTCTTCACAATATGAATATTCTGTGATTGTTAAATGGAACACTTCTCAGTTAACTCACTTCTACACTCATTAAACATTAAAGACAAACTAGCCATAAATGTACATGAATAACAAATGTATCCTAGTCTCCATGGCAACACAGTGCCATCGACTGTAACTTATTTTAAACTTAATAACTCAAAAACAAACAATTCACAGACATATGTTTATATGGACTTTTGTCCTTGTTTTAGTGTGAGAAACCCGCCCTCAAAGTTTGTAAAAGTATTTTTGATATGCCCTGTATATAAGTTCAATTGAGAATACAACTTAGAATTAAGCAAAACACTCAGTGAATTCTAATGACAATTTTGACTTAGGAAATGCTGTTTTAATTAAAGATAAATGAAATTTACTCGGATGAAAATGCATTGAAAGTGCCATGATCTATGAATCTCCTACAATTAATGTACAACCTTATAGTCTAAATTAGTAGTGAAACAATGTGGGATGCATAAACCTCATGTAAAAATAAAAACACAGTTAAAATTAGTTCAAATCTAATTTCTGAAGCAATACACTTAAAATAAAAATAACACATTCTTAGGCTAAATGCTAATGGAAATTTTGTTGAAATAAAATTCTTTTCCTGATGAAGTTGAGTCATTGGCAAAACATGTCAAAATAAAAATTATCATATCTATTTACTATATGGATATATATTTTATTTTAGGATAATTATATCAAAATAAAATACAGCTCTACTTTTACATCAAAATAAAGAATACAGCTCTACTTTTGTATTGAGTCCTGTTTTAAATTAATGTTACAAACATTGAATTTATATTCAATTTGTTCTCATTTCATATGGATATTATATATATATATATATATATATATATATATATATATATATATATATATATATATATATATATATGTATGTATGTATATATATATATATATATATATATAGTGGACTCTCCCATTGTATTTGATGTATGAGGGGCAAGCAGCTCAGTTTTTAGGAACTGACAACCCAGACACCAGCACATATGATTTGATTATAGTGGTGAAGGCGTTGTGCAGAACCAACCACACTTTTTGAAGGGACAAATACAGAGACTTGGTACACTACATGCCACAAGGTCCCCAAACAAACCCTGCAGATTTTGAATTCAGAGTTGTTCTTTTCCTAGACCAGTTGCCATCCAAAGCTATAGAACACGGTCTATCCTGCTATTTACCCATAGCTGGGGGGAGAAGAATAGGATTCACACCTTTCCCAAGAGTATTAGCATGTAACCTCCTCAATCTGAGCTGCTATCCACTACTCCACTGTGCCTCCTGCCTGTATATATATATATATATATATATATATATATATATATATATATATATATATATATTACTTAAACATAATTTTTAGTGGATATCCATATTTGAGCAGATACTCCATTTATTTTAAACAGTATTTATTTTGCCTACTAGTGTGCACATTCAAGAAACTTTATAAAGAAAATGTGGCCTCCAGCAGGATTTGAACTTACACCCTCTTTGCAGGAGAAACCAGCATCTGATCCAGCCTGCTTTTATTACTTGACTGCAAAGTGTTTCATAATAAAGCAATCTTTTATTTTTTAATACAACATATTTTTTTTCTTCAAAGCTTATTTTTAGTGGATAAGATAAAGGTCCAATTCACTTTTAAAGCTCACTCTCTTCTTCAGATTTTATCTACTCAGTTATGTCTCTGAAATGTAAACAAAGCAATTACTAAAGAATTCATGGATTTTATTGTTTAATTTGACATATTTTTATTTCTTCAAATGTTATTTTTGGTGAATACCTGCATTTGAGAAAACACTCTTTCAATGGAGCATCTACTTAAATAGTAAAATACTATTTATTTTAGGATATTAAAGCATGTTAAAAATTGGCAATTATGTTTAAACTCTATAAATGTTAAACTACTGGTGATTAATTTACTTTCAAAAGCAGAATACTTTCAAAAATAGGTTTGTGGGTATATATATATATATATATATATATATATATGATAAAAATATAATTTTAATATATGCTATGGTTAAATGTGCTCAATAACAGGGATAGAGCTTATGTAAATATAAAAGTGGACTGTGCAATACAGGAAACCATGAGGTAAAAAAATCTTGTAAAAACTTTGTCAGAAAAAGCACCTAAATCTAGAAAAACATCTAAATCCAGAAAAAGCCTCAAATACCAGAAAAAGCACCTAAATCTAGAAAAACATCCAAATCCAGAAAAAGCACCTAAATCTAGAAAAACATCTAAATCCAGAAAAAGCCTCAAATACCAGAAAAAGCACCCAAATCTAGAAAAACATCCAAATCCAGAAAAAGTCCCCAGTACCAGAAAAAGCACCCAAATCTAGAAAAACATCCAAATCCAGAAAAAGCCCCAGTACCAGAAAAAGCACCCAAATCTAGAAAAACATCCAAATCCAGAAAAAGTCCCCAGTACCAGAAAAAACATCCAATACCAAAAAAAAACAAAAAAAAACACCCAATCAATTCAAATGATTGAAAATATGTTGATCCTTCCAATACAAACTTTTAATAAATTAAATGCGAAATCTTAAATGTACTTTTAAAATCAACAACAACAAAAAAAAAAGCCAAAAATAATTACCAAGTTTGTCCAAAGGTAATTTTTCAAGAGGCCTGATCTTCTATAGATGTTTCTTTCCCTTTGTGCTATATTTTTTTTTAAAAACCTTTTCGAAATAAAGTTCCTGGAATGATAATTATCCGTAATTCCTTTCTCTGTACGACAGATACAAAGGAAATCTTTGCATTAATTAGATCTGAATATTCCTTGTTAACAACCAAGAATTTTTTGTCAAAAAGATTCCACTTGATTCAAATCTTGGTAGTCTTTAAAGATTACAAGAATCTTTTTTCTTTTTTTTTTTTAAAAAAAAAACAGGCTGTTTCCTCTGGTTTGAATTTTATTCAGAAATATGGTTTTTCTATAGGAATTGGTAAATATCCCATAAATAAATTCGAAAAATCTTGATGCAATTCCAATTATTAACAGAAAATTTTCTATAGAGAAATCCTTTTTGATATTTTTATATTCTTGCCACAAAAAAAGAGTGCATATGTGTATGTATGTGCGTGTTTTCCTTCTTTATTTCTTCATATATTTCTGGTACTCCCTGTTGCATGGCCGACCTGTTCAAATATCTTTTTTATCCCAGGTTTCCCCCATAAAAAAAGCCTCCAGCAGATGCCAAGATTGGCAGAACCAATTCAACAGAGATTTACAGACCGGGGGCCCAACGCTCACTGGAACCTTTCTTTGTGGCTGATTTCTCTTCTGTCACTTCATACCCAACTGATACACTCAACCATTGCACAGGCGCACAAGCCATGTTACATTAAGTCACTTAATCAAAAAAAAAAAAAACAAAAAAAAAAAACAAGACAAAAAAGACAATTTTCACTCCCTTAACTCTACCCTAACCCCATACACACACACTCCTACCATGCTTGATTTTACTATTATTACAAATGCCACCATTGGTGATACCTCCATACTAAACAGTCCAATGTTACTACTTCGTCACTGACACTGCCACCACCAAAGCCACCACCCTAATCCAAGATTGGCACCCACTTCAGTGGCAGAGATGCTACCCTCCTCCTCCTCCTGTATTCACTCAGTGGGTTAGATATTAGTAACATTAAGCTAAGCATCACTGAGAAGAATTACTGTATAATTATAGAGGAATGCTTCAATTGACTTTTAATAACAGTTGGACAACTGGATAATGGGGGGATGGGACCAAGACAACCTTTCAGCTTTTAGTTTATTTGGGATGGTATTTTTTAGAGTCTGTTTTCTTTCCTAGATTTGTTTTTTTTTTTCATTTTTATTATTTTATTTATTTTTATATTTTGCTTCTTGATTCAAAGAGTAAAAATTCCTTTTTACTTATTTGAAAGGTAAACGGCAAGATCAGATCCTATATAAACACAAACACACTGGCAAATGCAGAATAACTTAGTCTTGCAGAAAGATTAGATATATCAAAGAAACACATTAATATATTAACATTATCTATCTATCTATCTATCTATCTATCTATCTATCTATCTATATATATATATATGTATGTATATATGTATTTCTATTATTTGAAACATTAGATATATGTATATATGTGTGTATATCTATCTATCTATCTATCTATCTATCTATCTATCTATCTATCTATCTATCTATCTATCTATCTATCTATATGTCAATCTCAGTCTGTTGCTATCTATCAGTCTATTGCTATCTATCTATCTATCTATCTATCTATCTATCTATCTATATATATATATATATATATATATATATGTATATATGTATTTCTATTATTTGAAACATTACGTATATGTATGTACGTGCGTATATCTATCTATATGTCAATAGACTATCTCAGTCTGTTGCTATCTATCAGTCTATTTATCTCAGTCTATTGCTTGTTATCTATCTATCTCAATCTGTTCAGGTCTATTTATATGTTTATTTAACTATCTCACTTTAGTCATTATCTATGTATCTATCTATCTATCTATCTGCTGTCAGTCTATTTATCTGAATGTGTTGTTATCTATCTATCTCAGTCTGTTGCTATCTATCAGTCTACTTACCTCAGTCTATTCCTATCTATCTATCTATCTATCTATCTATCTATCTATCTATCTATCTATCTCCATCTGTTGCTATCTGTCAGTCGATTTATCTCAATCTGTTGTTATTTATCTATCTCAGTCTGTTGCTATCTATCAGTCTATTTGTCTCAGTCTGTTGCTAGATACCAGTCTATTTACCTCAGACTATTGCTATCTATCTATCTATCTATCTATCTATCTATCTATCTATCTGTTGCTATCTGTCAGTCTATCTCAATCTGTTGTTATCTAATTATCTGTCTGTTGCTATCTATCAGACTATTTATTTCAGTCTGTTGCTATCCATCTATTGATCTATCTATCTATAGTTCAAATTGTTTATATATAAACATTTTATAAGTTTCAAACAGCAGTTTTACTGGTTGCTTGGTCAGTGAATTTAAAATATTTAGAAATGGCTAATATTACCATTACCATTAACATATGGCTCAAAGAGAGAATAATACCAGAATCAAGATGTTGGCATTCAACACTACTTCAAACAAAAGGTTAGGAAGGAAACCCCCATCATTAGTGGAAAGAGAAATAAGAGTTATTGGACTTGAGAAAACTATTTTCCTGAAAGATTGTTTTAAGTAAAAAACTGGTTTTTCAGTCAATGAATGCTGAATGTTTCTTTATGAGGAAATGGCTAATATTACCATTACTGTTTATCTATCTATCTATCTATCTATCTATCTATCTATCTATCTATCTCCATCTGTTGCTATCTGTCAGTCTATCTCAATCTGTTGTTATCTAATTATCTGTCTGTTGCTATCTATCAGACTATTTATTTCAGTCTGTTGCTATCTATCTATCTATCTATCTATCTATCTATCTATCTATCTATCTATCTATCTATCTATCTCAGTCTGTTCATTATCTATCTATCTATCTATCTATCTATCTATCTATCTATCTATTGACTAATTTCAAGCATATGATGGTTGATTCTATCATTGTGAAACTTTCAGCTAAACATATGCTTGTCATGTCTTTAATATGGTCCAAAAATGTAATATTTACATTATGTATTCAAGTAAGTTTATTAATGCCACCCCTTTTATTAATTTCAAACATTTTGATAGTTTGAACAATTTTAGACTCAACTCTATTAAAAGTCCTCCACTTAGTTATTGTGCATTGAGAAAAATTAATTTCAACATCCCTTCTTCTTCATATGCATTTGTAATCATGTCAACGTAAACATTACTTTAGTTCAATTAAATGCTCAAGGGCAAAATGCGTCACACAAAAAATTTGTTCCACTTTGTCATAGATTTTCTTAATATAAAGGGTGTGTTGAATAAATTGTCATCTAAATTATGCAAAAATGAAAATAACACTGACATCTCATTTTAACAGATATATCTAGCAAAATTACACAAAAATATATTGAAATACTAAAGAGTGAATTTATTCAATAACATCGTCATTGGCTTCAGATGACTTTGGAATCTCCTGTAACTCTTCTGAGCGGTCTCAAATTGTTTAAGTTGGTGAATGCTGCCATAATCCTTGCCTTCAGTTCATCTTTGGTGTTACAAAGAGTTTTGTTGGTCTCTCATTCAACTTTAAATGACACATAATAAAAAAGGGGGTTGCAGCCTGAGGAGTTAGGTAGCCAGATGTAAAGAGTGATGTAGTGACAGAAATGACTGGGTTCGCCTGCATATGTTGCATGGTACAGAGAACTTTTGCCAGACATAGGGTCTTCCAGCAGGGACCTTCTTGACTCAGGGCAGTATTAACTCCTCAAGGAACTTGATTTAGGTCTCCATGTTGAGTATACAAATTTGGGAGTTCTTTTCTTATCAGAATGATCCAAGTGAGTTTTCCGTGTTGCTGTACCTTCATAATCAACATTAGACTCATCTAAATCTTTCTGAATCCTCTGCACAGTCTTCAGATTGACACCCAACCACTCTGAAATGTTTGTATTGGAACTTCCAGTCTGAATGCCAAGCAGTACAGCATGCTGTTACCAATTTCCAGCAGAAATTGTGCTCTTTTTCTCACGGATGGTGCCCAACTGATTCTACTATATTGTGTAGTTGAAAAAATCATAAAAAAACAACACACACACACACACACACACACACACACACACACACACACACACACACACACACACACATAGGTTGCGATGGGTAAATTGTCACCATTTCATATTTGCAATTTTATGCATGTGTGTTTGTTTTTGATTTTGTCAACTGCACGATAGTCATTCTCTCTCAATATATATATATATATATATATACACACACACACATATATATATATATATTGAGAGAGAGTGAGAATATATATATATATATATATATATATATATATGTATATTCTCTCTCTCTCTCTCTCTCAAAATAAATAAATAAATATATATATATATATATATATATATATATATATATATGGGTGTCCATAAAGTTCGTGTGGACTTTAAAAAACTTTATTTGTATTTGTGATAGACATAATTTGTAAAAAGGATTAGAAAGAAGTCAATCTATATTTTTTAAGGTTTTATTGACATTTTATTTAAGTTTCCACATGTCCTCCATCATTAGCAATACAAAGGGTAATACAATTTTGCAGTTCATGGAAAAAATTTGCCAACTGATTTACAGTAATGCCTGAAATCACATTAGTTATTTTAGCTATACTTAAAACTAGGTACATTAAACTTTGTGGCATTTTTTACAGATTATTTCTATCGCAAATACAAATAAAGTTATCAATTTTTTAAAGTGCACACGAACTTTATGGACACCCTGTATATATAGGTTGTGATGGGTAAATTGCCGCCATTTTATATTTGAAATTTTATGCATGTGTGTTGTTTGTTTTTGATTTTGTCAACTGCATGATATAGTCATTCTCTCTCAACATATATTATATACTCACTCTCTCTCAATATATATATGTGTGTGTGTGTATATATATATATATATATATATATATACACACACACATATATATATATAATGAGATAGAGTGAGAACATATATAATATATATTGAGAGAAATGAATATATATATATATATATATATATATATATATCAAGAAAGAGTGAAAATATATATATATATATATATATATATATATATATATATATCCAATATATCCAGGTAAGATGAGAACACATAGTGTACAATTCCAACGTTTGTAACACTTACTTTAAAAAGGACTCAATACAAAGTACAGCAATATTCTTTATTTTAGGATATTACATTGAAAAACATGTCAAAATCGCTATACAGTTTCAGTCGTGTTTATACACATCTTGTCAGGCAATTGTAAATTACTGGCAAGTGAATGATTTTAGTAATTTACAATCGCCTGATGAGATGCATATCAATGCATCAAAACACGACTGTAATTGTGTAATGATTTTGACATGTTTTTTGATGTAATATCCTAAAATAATGTCTATATATATATATATATATATATATATATATATATATATATATATATAGTGCATAAATTTTGGATCTTATTAAACTACAATAAAAGAGAATTTATCTAAAATTTATTACAATTACTTCTAAAACAATAAAAGACTTAATACAAAACAAATTAATAAGCTGAAACTTTATAGAGGAATTTACACTATTACTTGTAATAATTGCCACTAGTAATACATCGGAGAAACTTCAAGGAATTTAAATAAAAGTTTATACAAACTCAAAAGAGATCTTTTACAAAACAATTTAATTGTGCACTGTAATGAGTCTGATCAATTTTTATTTAAAAAATGCTACTTTAATTAAAAGAGAAAGCAATTTACTAAGATGAAAATATATAGAAAGTGGTTTAATTGTGAGTTCATCTGCAGTAAATTTGGGTCGAGGTTCTTACAACATTTCACTTGTCTGATCTTCTGCTATCACAATGTATAATATTTAATAATGAAATGGATAAAAACATAAACAAAAAAAAGAAATGAAATGCAATTGATTGGACTATATATCCAAAACATTTATATTTATTTATATATTTATTGGACTATATATCCAAAACATTTATATTTATTTATATATTTATTAGACTATATATCCAAAACATTTATATTTATTTATATATTTATTGGACTATATATCCAGAGCATTTATATTTATTTATATATTTATTGGACTATATATCCAAAACATTTATATTTATTTATATATTTATTGGACTATATATCCAAAACATTTATATTTATTTATATATTTATTAGACTATATATCCAAAATATTTATATTTATTTATATATTTATTAGACTATATATCCAAAACATTTATCTAAAACAAAAATCTTTTAAAAGATCTAAAATTCTCAAAATTAAAAAAAAATGATTTTTTTTTTTTAAGTGTCCAAATGGAAGTTCTTTTTTAAGATAAAAAGGGGAAACATTTTATTTCTTGACATATCACACTTTGGCGCTGACATCCCCAGTGGGTCTTATCTCTCTAAGAGGTAGTAAATCTAACAGAGCAGTTGGGTGTTTAATTTTTTGTTCTGTATTTACCGTTTTCTTAAAGACTTAACTGTTCTGAGATATATGCATTGAAAGGAGGACATTTTTGTTTACAGCCAAAGAGATTCTATATTTATTTGACAAAGATGTATTTGTTTTCATTTTAAGAGACTTGCTGAATTTGCTCTGAGTGGGTAGAAAGTAATGACTCAAGAGTAGACAGAGGGTACTTTTAAAATATGAATACCTTTTTGTTTAACACAAAAGTATCTGAGAATATTGGGTTGATTGAAGAATCTAAACTAGTAAAGATATAAGCATCTCCCTGAATAGGAAACACAAAAAGAAACACACAAAGAGTAATTTAAAAATTTCATCTTTATTGACATATTCACAATGTTTCAGCCAATGTATGTTTCAACCTACTTCAGGATCTGTCTATATTTCTGAGATGAAGTATTGTAACTATTTACACTATTTACATTGTTCAGACTGTTGTCCTAATCTTTATTGCCATATAAACAACATTTCAGCCATTTTGCACTCCAGCCTTCTTCAGAAACCTGTCTATATTTCTGAGATGAAGTATTGTAACTGTTTACACTATTTACATTGTTCAGACTGTTGTCCTAATCTTTATTGCCATATACATGACATTTCAGTCGTTGCACACTCCAGCCTTCTTCAGGTTATATACCTTGAAATTTCCTTGGAGACACATTGAAATAATCCATTGACTTGACCCAAAAAGTTAGAAGTTGAATACCTGGCCACAGCAGAGATGAACAACAACTTGGAGAGTTGAGCTACTTAAATGAAACTGAGATGTTCAGAAAAGGTATGGCATGTGGAACGAGAACAATCTATCCCTTTGGAGTAAATAAATGGTTTGGTTTGAAATTCCAATGTATCTCACCTGAAGAAGCCTGGAGCATACAATAGCTGAAATGTGAATAAGACTATAAAGATTAAGGAAACAATGCAAACAAAATAAGTTGTGCAAATAAAATGATTTCCATCTGAATTTCTGAGATGAGGAATTATTATTTACATTATTTACAATTAGACAGCTTTGTTGTTATTACCCCAAAAGTTCATCAGGTGCATGTCAATCTGGGTACACCCTTTATTTAATCTTAAGAGATAAAATGTCCTTGTTCTGCTGAGCATGTCCAGGAATATCTCATGTAATTCTTATTTTAGTACTGCTCAATTGACACATGTCCTGTTTCCTCTGTGCCTGTGTCTATTGTACCCCATCCAGGGATTGAACTCACGATTACTATATGAGCAAATTCATGAAACAGCACTGATTCACTAAGCTATTGGAAGAATCCCGAGTGTAGTACTTGGAGCCATAAACCTGATCTGACTGCTGATGTGACTGCTGATGAGACTGCTGCTGCTGCTTGTCACACTGATGCAACTGCTGCTGCATGTTACATTTGACTGCACTCATCAAGGCGTTT